ATACTTAGCAACTCTCGTCTTTACTTTAACAACTGGCTGTTAGCCTACCCGATTCTGCACACTACCTCGGTGACGCCGGCTACAAATTGATGAAGCAAATTATACCCCCGTACCCGATCACGTATGACATGTTGATCAAAACCAGTCGCTACACTTACGTGCAGATATATACGCGAGGTGTGGTGAACCGGTCATTTTCGTCGGAGACGATTAGGTTACCATCCACAGACGAGAAACTAGCAGATGTGACGCAAGGGATCGAAGCAAAGCTGGAATTTCCTGGTGTAGCCGGGACCATCGACCGCACATCGATCCTGATCAAGAGGTTTGACGATTTTGAAAGGTTTTACTGAAGGAACCAGTTTAACCTGTTGTGGATAATGAGCTTCGTTTTATTGCGTTTTCTATCCGCAACGGGGCCTAAAATGATCAGTCGGTACTTAGCAACTCTCGTCTTTACTTTAACAACTGGCTGTTAGTCTACCCGATTCTGCACACTACCTCGGTGACGCCGGCTACAAATTGATGAAGCAAATTATACCCCCGTACCCGATCACGTATGACATGTTGATCAAAACCAGTCGCTACACTTACGTGCAGATATATACGCGAGGTGTGGTGAACCGGTCATTTTCGTCGGAGACGATTAGGTTACCATCCACAGACGAGAAACTAGCAGATGTGACGCAAGGGATCGAAGCAAAGCTAGGGTTTCCTGGTGTAGCCGGGACCATCGACAGCACATCGATCCTGATCAAGAGGTTTGACGATTTTGAAAGGTTTTACGGAAGGAACCAGTTTAACCTGTTGTGGATAATGAGCTTCGTTTTATTGCGTTTTCTATCCGCAACGGGGCCTAAAATGATCCGTCGATACTTAGCAACTCTCGTCTTTACTTTAACAACTGGCTGTTAGCCTACCCGATTCTGCACACTACCTCGGTGACGCCGGCTACAAATTGATGAAGCAAATTATACCCCCGTACCCGATCACGTATGACATGTTGATCAAAACCAGTCGCTACACTTACGTGCAGATATATACGCGAGGTGTGGTGAACCGGTCATTTTCGTCGGAGACGATTAGGTTACCATCCACAGACGAGAAACTAGCAGATGTGACGCAAGGGATCGAAGCAAAGCTAGGGTTTCCTGGTGTAGCCGGGACCATCGACAGCACATCGATACGTTGATCAAGAGGTTTGACGATTTAAAAGTTTTTACGGAGGCACCCAGTTCACCCTGTTGTGGATAATGAGCTTCGTTTTATTGCGTTTTCTATCCGCAACGGGGCCTAAAATGATCAGTCGGTACTTAGCAACTCTCGCCTTTACTTTAGCAACTGGCTGTTAGCCTACCCGATTCTGCACACTACCTCGGTGACGCCGGCTACAAATTGATGAAGCAAATTATACCCCCGTACCCGATCACGTATGACATGTTGATCAAAACCAGTCGCTACACTTACGTGCAGATATATACGCGAGGTGTGGTGAACCGGTCATTTTCGTCGGAGACGATTAGGTTACCATCCACAAATGAGAAACTAGCAGATGTGACGCAAGGGATCGAAGCAAAGCTGGGGTTTCCTGGTGTAGCCGGGACCATCGACAGCACATCGATCCTGATCAAGAGGTTTGACGATTTTGAAAGGTTTTACGGAAGGAACCAGTTTAACCTGTTGTGGATAATGAGCTTCGTTTTATTGCGTTTTCTATCCGCAACGGGGCCTAAAATGATCAGTCGGTACTTAACAACTCTCGTCTTTACTTTAACAACTGGCTGTTAGTCTACCCGATTCTGCACACTACCTCGGTGACGCCGGCTACAAATTGATGAAGCAAATTATACCCCCGTACCCGATCACGTATGACATGTTGATCAAAACCAGTCGCTACACTTACGTGCAGATATATACGCGAGGTGTGGTGAACCGGTCATTTTCGTCGGAGACGATTAGGTTACCATCCACAGACGAGAAACTAGCAGATGTGACGCAAGGGATCGAAGCAAAGCTGGGGTTTCCTGGTGTAGCCGGGACCATCGACAGCACATCGATCCTGATCAAGAGGTTTGACGATTTTGAAAGGTTTTACGGAAGGAACCAGTTTAACCTGTTGTGGATAATGAGCTTCGTTTTATTGCGTTTTCTATCCGCAACGGGGCCTAAAATGATCCGTCGGTACTTAGCAACTCTCGTCTTTACTTTAACAACTGGCTGTTAGCCTACCCGATTCTGCACACTACCTCGGTGACGCCGGCTACAAATTGATGAAGCAAATTATACCCCCGTACCCGATCACGTATGACATGTTGATCAAAACCAGTCGCTACACTTACGTGCAGATATATACGCGAGGTGTGGTGAACCGGTCATTTTCGTCGGAGACGATTAGGTTACCATCCACAGACGAGAAACTAGCAGATGTGACGCAAGGAATCGAAGCAAAGCTGGGGTTTCCTGGTGTAGCCGGGACCATCGACAGCACATCGATCCTGATCAAGAGGTTTGACGATTTTGAAAGGTTTTACAGAAGGAACCAGTTTAACCTGTTGTGGATAATGAGCTTCGTTTTATTGCGTTTTCTATCCGCAACGGGGCCTAAAATGATCCGTCGGTACTTAGCAACTCTCGTCTTTACTTTAACAACTGGCTGTTAGCCTACCCGATTCTGCACACTACTTCGGTGACGCCGGCTACAAATTGATGAAGCAAATTATACCCCCGTACCCGATCACGTATGACATGTTGATCAAAACCATTCGCTACACTTACGTGCAGATATATACGCGAGGTGTGGTGGAACGAGCATTTAGACGGCTTAAAGGAATGTTTTGCATCTTCAAGCAGCCGCTACTGCAAAATTTACCAGGGTACATGGCTCGTATAGCATTTGCGACTCTTGCTAGGCTAACCGAGCTCAAGGACAGCAAAGATTGCGAGATTGAATCGTGGATGCTGTTCCATTTAGGTAACGAAAGATCCGAAGCCGATGGTGTTAGAGGAGATGCAAAAAGAAGTAGAATTAGAGACGAGTTGTACGCGAGATATATTTCAAATAGCTAATTCATCTTGTTCTACAGAACCCGCAGTAGCTGGGCGCTCATTTTTGCTGAATATTTGAGCGCTAGCACAATTTGCTTTTGGCTTCTTGGTTTTCTTTAAGTTTGCACCGAAATATTTTTTTGCGTGTGGAATGTTATCCGGAGCTGCCATCGCCTTGGCGATTTGTGATCCCATCGATATGGAAAATCCAATTTTTGCCGTTTCTTCATGCAGTTGTGGCGCTCTTGCTCCATTTCAACAGCCGCAGCATGGATTCCATCAGCTTCGGACGAAGACGAATCATCGTAGGGCTCACCAGCTGCATTATCCCCATCACTGGCGGCATCATCGCCCCTTTCACTGGCGGCAGCCGCGTTGTCGGGCAGCGGTAAATAGAACTAGTGGAGTCTGTGACTGCCCAAAGTCTTGGTACGTAGCCCCTTTTTATCTGCAAAACCCAAATCGACATGAATTGACCAGTTGCTCGGGTACTTGACCGCCATTGCTAGGTTTCCCGTAGTGACCTCGTCCGCTCGATTTTGGTCAAACGACGCCTTGATAGCATTAAATTTGTCACGCAGATGGTCGACAACGGCCCTCGTCCCATGTTTAAGTGGCGGGCTGCACGGTTCCATAGTACGGTTACTTGTGCTCGGCTCTTTTTGCTTGTTAAATGCACGACCACAACCAAAAGGAAGGGTGCGCAGACAGGAATAAGTCCAGACCAGGCGAGGCGCCTTCACATCACGGCTCTTGCCAAAGGGGTCAATCGCGGTTTTTTTCTCAGGAGAGAGAGGCTTATCACTTCAAGCAGCGTGTCCACCTTCTATCGAAGGCTGTAGAATTAGATGAATTAACCAATAGAACTCGGTACCGATAATAAATAAACAGGTATTTTACCCGACCTCGATCCGCTGTAATGCTCTTTTTGTTTTGCTCTTTTTGTACCCCATCCTCCCCTATGTGCGGTGCGCCTTTGATGGCGTCGGAGGCGTCCACAACACCAGTGACCAGTTCTCATGGTAAGGCCGACGAGGTGCTCAAGAAATGGTACCAGCCCAGCGTGAACTGGGTTCGCGTTGCTGTTCTACAAGCTTCGAATGACATACGGACGGTGGAGGACTTTACCAAGCTGCTACTTACTCGACAGAATGAATGAGTGTGTTGGAACCTTCTAAGTACGTAGTTGCGTGTCGTTGGCATCGCGACGATGGATCCGCTGAGTTCCCTTCAAATGCAGCTCTTGCTCGGGTTAGGCTTGAGGAAGGGGGCAGCGCCCTTCTGTAGCGCGTATTTTAGGCGGGCGCGCTCGTCATTAGCTCTCTCCACACTCACACGGACAACCACCGAGCCTATCTGCAAGTTCTTATGGAGCACAATTGAAGCAAGACCCGGAAGACGAAAATGGCAAGCTTCACGGACATGAATAAGACCAGACATAGTTCGTTTAGCTGATCGTAGGGCAAGTAGTTCAATACTATTTTAGTACTATTACTACAGTAGTCCAGAAAACTTAAATTGAGATACTAAGTACTGCAGTTACTTCTATTTGAGTATAGGCAAACTACTGGAAGTAGTTGGTAAAACGTGCCAGTACTGCAAAGCCCTGTCTACAGCTTTAACTTCCTTCGGTCGTTATTAAATGCAAGAGCAATCTGATCCGGCTCTCTACCTTTTTTAGACCAACGATTGGGCCACGGATTGCATCATCCAATGCAGAATGCTCTCCTATTGGCTCGACTTCTTCGATCTCTGAAAAGGCATGAAAAAGGACTCGGTTATGACCAAAAAATAAAACACGTGTTTCAAATTCAAAGCAGTCGGACCACACAGCGATTTGCAGCTCACCATACCGTGCAGGTTCGGACCTCGGACAAATCGGACAAACCTCTCTTAAATCATATGCTGTGCTCGTCAATAACGTTTGGTCCCCAGTTACAATCAGAGGGGAAAGAGATCTCGGCGACGTGAAAGGCGCGTGGAGTACGGAGGCGTGGCGACGTGGCGGGTTGAAAGGGCGGCGGCGTGGCGATATGGAATGCTGACTTGGCATGAAGGTTGGAGTCGTGAAGGGTGGCGACGTGGAGGGCGTGGAGGGCTGCTGTGGTGTGAAGGGTGGCCTTGGCATGAAGGATGGCGTCGTGCAGGGCTGCCTCGGCGGGAAGGGCGGCGGCGTGAAGCGCGACCACGGCACGAAGATCGGCCTCGTCGTGAAAGGCAGCGGTGTGAATAGCGGCCTCTACGTGCAGGGCTACCTCGTCGTGAAGGACGGCGGCGTGGAGGGCGTGGAGGGCGGCTCGGCATGAAGGATGGCAAAGTGCAGGGCTGCCTCAGCGGGGAGGGCGGCGACGTGAAGGGTGGCGGCATGAAGGTGAACATCTTCTATTGATTGCGTTAGGTGGCGACGTGTTGGTGGGCTAATGCCGCTTATAGCGGATTTTGTGCATGCTGCAGTTGCAAAATGTGAACAGTGGACACCGGCGTTGTGTCGATGATGCGGCCACCTGCACACAGAGCTCGGTACTGTAGAATGTGCTCTTTCAGCTCTCCATTCTTATGAATCTTCTTAAGTGTTTTAACCACAGTTCCCAATGCTTTTGTTGTCTCGCTGCGAGGTTTGAGGGACGCGAGAATCGCTTCTTCGGCATTCTGTCCGGACTTGAGAATCCAATTTTTGGCTGTGCTATCCGAAACTGTTACGTCGTATCCTTCCGGTAAGAACAAACGCATGAATGCAACTGCCACTTTTGCATCGTGATAACGTCTTCTGTTTTCGTTGTGTTTCCATGGCAGCGTAGTATACCATTCATACCACACTACCGACAGCGATTTGGCGTGCGATCGCCTTCGTGGGGCCGTCGTCGCTATCTGTGTGGCTGTGCCAGAGTCGGTTTTGCCACCAGCATGCCCGTGCTGGCGTCTGGAAATTGGGACAGAGTTCTCTAGAGATGCCATCCGCTCCTTCAGTTCAGCTACTTGTGACGAAAGACTTCCAATTACCTCCATCTGTTGCTAAATGAGAGTTGTCTGTTTCTCAACAAGATCGTCTGCTGTTGGTTTACCGGCGGCGTCAGGCTTGTCTGGAATCTTCTGGCGTGCCACATAGTGGCTGTGAATGGTGAGTGCCCAGCTAGCAAGTTCCACCTCGGTGATTCTAAACTGTTTGATTGTTCTTTTCATCCGATCAATGTAGGGGCTTTCAGAAGCAAGCTGCAGCATATCGTGGTAGTGCATCACTGCCACAGCCATGAGAACTTCTACAACGTCATCCCAAAAATTCATCAAATCAGAAAAGCCAATTGCATTGGCAAACAAGGCCTCCTGGAGCTGCTGGATCTTGCGACGCACAACGGCGCCAAAGGCATGCAGAGTAGATAAACAGGGTTCAGCTTTTGAATTCCATACCGCTAATATCTTGCCCACCTGCTGATCTTCTTGTGTAGTACTGACAATGTAATCGAACGCCTTGCTTACTGAAGTCATGCTCCACCCCCCCCCCCCACGATCCATAATCCGCGGAGTGCTGACGCTACTGTTGCCGTTGGCGTTCTGCGCTGCACCTCGCCTGAACGAGTGCGACGATAAGCCCTTTGTCAATGTCATGCCGGCAACCAAACACTGCTGTCCCCATCTGCGTAAAAGCCGATTCACGTACGCTTGGGTACCTGGGACAGTCACTTTCGACTTTGAGTTTTCGGCATCATTTGATTCCAGAATTTCTACTCGTCTTTCAAGGCGATCGAGTAACGGGCGAGCTGACAGGGAACTCTCTGCAACTTGGGTGTCATTGAGAGAATCTCGTGGGACTTGATCGAGTAGGAATTGACTAGGTGCAGTCTGCATAATAGTAGCCACAGCTAACTCGTGCAAAGGACACGTCACAAAATTGCCACAGACATAAAATAACGAAGCTCCTTGGCATGAAGCAGACTTGATCCGCTTGAAGTAAATGTAAAGATAGCCTCCTGGAATGACATGGATAATTTTACGTTGCCACACTTAGTTAACAACATCGTACAAACACACCCACTTACCTGGATAAACAGCTACTTGACTTTTTACGAGGCTTGCTGTGTCGAAAGATCGCCCCAGAAAATACCACAGCAGACTAACAAGCCCTGCGTCCTTGTAATCATCTGGAGTACTCGCTCCCTTGTAAATCACAGTCACAAGTGCCTTCAGATCCTTTTTCGTGCAAGGAGGGGCTTGGTGGGTAAACTCCGTCCCTCGTTTGGCGCAGTGTTTGTCGAGAATCGACGCAATTTTCTGCAAACGGCGGTCCGTGACACTATTTAGAGCAGGAAACAGTTCTAGGAGATGGTTTTTGGCGTTCCCAAAGTAGCTAGCCACGGACCTTTTAGACAGCAAAGAGCCTCTAGAGGTCTCTTGGAAAGCTAAATGCATGGCAAATTTGTCTAGCACGCTACAGAGGGCATCACCTGACTTATCACCTGCAATAAATGACTGAATCTGTTTCACCGTCATTTCTTCTGCTACAACGAATCGCTCGAACGCGTTCAGCGCTGTTAAGCGCGCCCGCTGTGAGTATCCAGGTATCAGCGCTTTAGTTGTCATTGCTTGGGAGTGTGACTTTGGTCATGTCTTGTCTGCCATCATTCTCCCCCGTCTAAACCGATAATTGTCCGAATAGCCACGATATTTTTGAAATATGGCGCCGACTCAGTTTCACTATAGCAATATCAAATATTTTGAAATCATTCGGACACAATATGTCCGAAAGGTCCGATAGACAGCTGGTGAGATTTGAAGCTCTACGGAGCGACCAAGTACCGATTTGATTGGCCAATGCTTATTGTAATATTCCGAATTTCAACGCTCTGTGTCCGAATGGACATGCTATTCTACCATACCAAAATTTATCGGACCGGATGACTTTATCGGACCTGTACCAAATGAACGGTACATCAAAACTATAACCCCCAAAACATATATATATATATAATCTCAAGTTTAGATGCTGTGGGCCACACACTAAACATTTTGTTTACAACATGCAGGAGGAAGGTGGCGAGGGGCGACAATGGCGGCAGCGACACGTGCGGTAGGGCGGTGGCGGCGCCGACAAGAGGGACGACAGCAAGACAAGGAAGGATAGCAAGGATGGATGGAGCGAAGAGGATATCAGCAGTGGGCGGAGCATCAAGGGCTGTAATGGCTTACACGGCAGGGCGGGTGGCAGGCTTCCCGTTGGGTGCGTGCCTGCAGGTGGCGCTCCGAAGGGCGGGCTCCGGCTGGACCGTCGAGTCATCTACCACCAGCAGCGAGGATGCCGCCACCAGACCCCGTGCAGATCCCGCTAGAGCTATTGCCCCACCCGGCAAGGCGGGAAGCATGCTACCGGCTGATAGCCCGCTGGCGACGCTCCAAGTCCGGATGCCTGTCCCAGCAGCTGATGTAGAGCTCGATGCTGACAGTCAAGTAAAATATAACCGAGTATTTGACGCATATTATCAATGTATCTTTAATACCGGGTACAATAATAATTATTCGCAATGCAGCACGTCACGGAAGCTGTTGGAAGTTACAAGTGTAGTTAATGCATCTCCTCGTCACAGAGGCTATTGATGGCATGCATCCTGTCGCCATTATAACGCTTTCTAGAGATGTCTAATGTATTAATAATAAAATTTTAAAAGTTCTTTTGGAGTCGTTTGTACTGAAATGATTACGCCGGTCAGATAAAATGGATATGCGTGTTATACACCAACATCTTAATATTTGTAAGGGCAGACACATATTTTCTGTGCCCGTCGGACCTGATACGTCCGATGTGGGGTTTAGATGACCAACCTAACCCTTCATGCATTTATTGGCCACACTGACATATTACTTGAAAATGAGTGGCCTTCTAAAACAAAATAATATTTGATTGGTCATTAATTATGATACTAAACTTAAGAGAGGTCGGATAAGTGATGATATTCTTCCATTACAAGCTTGTTGTCGACGGACGGCACCATGTCCTGTCTGGACCGTCCAGATTAGGTGGCGTGCCCAGATCCGTGTCGTGTGTGCTGTTGGAATTAGCGGAGTCAGTAGTCTTAGCTAATAACTAGTGTCATATCCTCAACATTCAGTTAAACGTACTGCACGGTGATGTTGTCGGGCTCGAACGGATCGTTCAAACACATTTGGTGGACCGAAAGATGACAGATACAGCAAGGATACGTTATTGTAAGCCCCTGGTTTTCGTAGTCAGCGTAAGAGCGCTTCAATGGCTTAGCTGGAGTCGGCACGTGTGAGAGGGCTGGAATCAATCCGAAGGCTGCAGCAGAAATTGCAAAATGAGGAAATCAGCCAGGGTAGAAAGATCATTGATCGATATAAACACTCTTGGTCAAAGCAACTATGCATGGTACTTGCGCCGCACTGCACGCCAGAATTTCCGTCGTAGAGACCAAGGCTGCAGGAATCACGAATGGTAACCTCGTCGAACTGCGAGCAAGCCGTAGTGCAAAACCCGGTTACCCACTATAAGGATGAATTCAGGCGTCTGTCTAGATATCGGTGGTAAATCAATAGTACTACCGGATCTTCAACACGAGTAACCGCTAACTACAGTAGAAATAAATTCAGATTGTGTCAATCTACTGACTACTACAGTAAACGTAAAAGTAACATAGTACTAATTTTGTACTAGTGACCCAAATTACTGCAAAGCCCTGACTGTAGGCAGCGGAAGAAGACATCTAACTTCGTTTTGCATTTTCAATCTAGTGAAATGCCTCGCTACCAATACCAACGTTGTCACGAGTTCCTGAAGCACGCAGCTTTCCGACGTCGACACCAAGGTCGCTCAATTTGCGAGAGAAATAGGCGCCGTGAAGAACTGAGGTTGTTATTGCATCAAGATTTTGTGGATTGTTTTGCATTATGGTTAGCTTAGCTGTAAATGCGACAGTACGTATTGCGATATTTAGCATAAAAGTAAGTGATTTGCTCTATGAAATTCATGATAGTAATTTTTATAGTATGAAAAAACGTGCTCCATTCGACAATCAGCCGCGTGGACCTCGACTCACCAGAGAAACGTGTTCTCATGAAAATAACGCATTTATCCTCTTACCTTTTAAGCTGTGTAATTCTAATCAAAGCTTCCTAGCGAAATGTGGTCTGCGTCCGTCCGTCCGAGGGTAGAGCTAATAGAGCTAACGCTAATGCGCGCGTTCAACTAGCTGCCGAGCGCAGCGGAGTCGGCGTCGATCGGCTAAATATCTGCCAAGCCAGAAAAGGAGGCCCTAATTGGCTAAACTGGCCTTGTGTGGTCTACACATTGTGTGTGGTCTACATAACTGATAGAGGTCACGGATCTTGGGCAGCGTTAAGCTTGTACGGAGTAAAGGGAAGAGTCACCACGCGGGGAGAAGACTGAAGCGAGGACACGTGAGGGGAAGAAGGAAGATTATGAAGTGATTGATTTATCAAAGCTTACACTGTCCTCAATGCCTAGTGTTGTTATGGCCGTCAAATCAGAAGTGAGCTGTCCGGAGATTTAATTGACGAGGCCTCTACAGGGCCTTATGTTTGTCCACCTCCCAGCCACTCATTAACATCCTTCGACAGCTTATACTTTATCATTTTATGCACTGGTTTTTTTCCTTAATAAGTTTCAGCTAAGTAACTTCTAACCAATGATACATCATCTCATGTATTTAGCTAATCCCTTGGCGTGACATTCTCACTAGAAGTGGACAGTACACTTTAATTCTGCTTATATTCTTTACAACAGAAACGTGTCGTTTTGCATTTGCGATTCTTTTATAAAAACGATCATCAAAACTATCCAGAACGATACGTACTGCATCTTTATATTTTTCCAATCAGCAGATGACAAATCTTAAGATCTTTGATGTGACTCGTCAAACCTAAGATACGACTCTTCCGACTAGTAACATGAGTAAAGATCTTAAGATATGACTATTCCGACGAGTCACTTGACTCTTCCCATTAGACACCGTTTTTAGAAATGTCTCTTCGAATAAATCTTTATAAACCGTTCTTTTAGCCATCTTTGATGCTGCAAAAACACTTCTCGCTCACATTTCGTTTTGCATTTCTCAGCTCGGTCTTTGACCTCTTTTAACCCCTCAAGGGGGG